GTCTCCCCGGGGCAGAGAGGGGCATGTAAGACACAGAAGCCGAAGGATTCTTCACCTTCCCCCCCCCCCCCCACATTTTTGTGGATTTTGTTTTTAAATTCAAACGAGGCCAAAATGCGGGAGTACCTCAATAGATACAAAAGCCCGCCCCCTTTTTTTACATCGTAACCTTTGCGATAGGTTGTTGTATCGAAGCTTGGGCTTAGCCGCAGCTGAGTCTGCTCCTGGGCCGGAAATGTCTCATCCATTTACTGAGGCCCTGTGACTTGCATCGAGAGGCATCCCTGTCAAAAAATTTCACAGGTCGATGGATGGAATCGCTGACTTCAAGTTATTGTTTTTAGTTCTTTTGTTTGACAGGCAGAGTGGACAGTGAGAGAGAGAGAGACAGAGAGAAAGGTCTTCCTTTGCCATTGGTTCACCCTCCAATGGCCGCCACGGCCGGCGCGCTGCAGCCGGCACACCGCGCTGATCCAATGGCAGGAGCCAGGTGCTTCTCCTGGTCTCCCATGGGGTGCAGGGCCCAAGCACTTGGGCCATCCTCCACCGCCTTCCAGGGCCACAGCAGAGAGCTGGACTGGAAGAGGGGCAGCCGGGACAGAATCCGGCGCCCCGACCGGGACTAGAACCCGGTGTGCCGGCGCCGCTAGGTGGAGGATTAGCCTATTAAGCCGTGGCGCCGGTTTGTATCATTGACTTTTAATAATAGTTCCTGGCATTTTAAAGATTCTCACATTTTTAAAAAAATCACTTTTTTAAAAAATCACTTTTTCAGCTTTGAAATAAACATGCACCTTAAGAAGAAAATGAGGCAGTGGTGTCTTGGATGTCCCAAATAATCACACTGAGTAAGAACACATATTTACCTGCATCTTCGTGGTTTCTGATTTCAAACTCCAATAGCATTTCCTGTTTTTCCTCTATGTCCTGTAGAATGGCACTGATGGTCTGATGCTGTCAGATACAACAGTAGAAAATTCATTACAAGAGGCAGTGTGCTCTCTGAAGAGTAAGTACAAAATAAAGCAGTAAATACAATGCTGCTAAAAACATGCTCAAATGTTCTCATGCTTTGTGTAACCTTAACTAATAAGCAGATCTGAAAACAAGTAGGTTTAACTATGTCTTGATTTATGCAGTAGATCCCTGGGGAAAACAGAATTTAAGAGTAGAAACCATATAAGGTAATCATAACTTCTTACTAACTTCTGTTTAAATAACAGGCATAGAGGGGCTGGTGCTCTGGTGTAGCAGGTGGGGCCACTACCTGGTGGGGCAGGCACCCCATATGATGATGCCAGTTCATGTCCCAGTTGCTTCACTTCCTATCCAGTTCCCTGCTAATGCACCTGGGAGAGCAATGGAAGATGTCCTTGGGCCCCTGTACCCAGGTGGGAGACCAGAAAGAAGCTCCTGGCTCCTGGCTTCAGCTTGGCCCATCTCCAGCCATTGTAGCCATTTGGGGAGTGAACCAGTGGATGGAAGATCTTTCCGGCCCCTCCCACCCCCTGCAACTCTGCTTTACAAATAAATAAAATATTTATTTATTTATTTTTTATTTGACAGGCAGAGTTATAGACAGTGAGAGAGAGAGAGACAGACAGAAAGTTCTTCCTTCCATTGGTTCACTCCCCAAATGGCCGCTACGGCCAGCAACTGTGCCCATCCAAAGCCAGGAGCCAGGTGCTTCTTCCTGGTCTCCCAGGCGGGTGCAGGGGCCCAAGCACTTGGGCCATCCTCCACTGCCGTCCCGAGCCACAGCAGAGAGCTGGACTGAAAGAGGAGCAACCGGGACTAGAACCCGGCGCCCATATGGGATGCCGGCACCGCAGGCAGAGGATTAACCAAGTGAGCCACGGCGCCGGCCCCATAAATAAAATCTTTTTGAAAAATCATAGGCATGGAAGAAAAAATAAGCCACTTGGCACATAATATTAAAGATTCACATATATTCAACTAGACAACTCTTAGACTTTGTGTTATTAGAATCTCACACATAGTCGCAGAAAGAAAACACTGCTCTTTCAAAAACTCACAGAGGAGATTTAACTCCCCAGCTTTGAGTTGTCGGCACGCATCTTCCTGCCTGGAATGCCGGCGATTCCCTTTGCCCACATCTCTCCCCAGTTGTGGACGACACCAGCACTAAGTGAGAACTCAACAGGTATTGCCTATTGTTACTGCTAGCACATCCTACACCCAAAACTTGTGACCAGTCCATACTGATTTCTCTTTTTTCAGGACTACTTAAGAATTTCAGGGCTATACAAATTAGCAGTAATACATGTAATGCCTTCCACATTTTCTCAAGATATGAGGGTCCTGCAGGTGGGTGCAGGCTTTCTATTTATGTTTGCTTTCCCCAGCACTGGGCACAAAGCTGTTGCCGAATAACAGGTGACTGGTGGACTGACAGCTGATCTACCCTCTCAAACACTCCCCATACACTTTCATTTTATCATGTTTCAGTTCTCAAGGTCTTCAGAAGTACGTCTGAAATGTTACCTTGGTGCTCACAAGGGATATGGAAAATGCACAGTACAAAAACTACCTACTTATTTGGTAATGCAACCTTACTGCTATAATTTATTAAATGGATCAAAATGGAACTATAAAATATCAATAGTCAAAACCACCACCAAAAAATCCAAAAACCTCTTTATATAGGGACTGTCTTAAGGTTGTAAAAGTGAGGTCAAGGGTTACAAAGCCTCCAGCTACAGGTTAAATCTTTCTGCATGGCCCACATTGTAGATATAATCTGCCTTGGCCAACACTGGCTGAAACGTACTCACAATGGTATTTTATTGAGAAGGCTACCTTGCTTATGGAGTTTGTGTCCAACTAAGGATTAATTTATCCATCAAGATGCATCTTACAGAGTATCGGCTATGTTATTTTTGTAAATGTCTACTGTTACATGGTAGGTTTCACAGCAAACTGTATTATCAACTATGTAGGAGCCGGGACAGGTAGATGAGGGTTCCTTTCTGTGCACTGCACAGCTCACATGCTCTTGGAGGGAGGGACTGGGAGCTATGACAACAGTAGTGTCTCTGGGACAAGAAACAGCCAAGCAACTCATGCTAGACAAGGGACGGCAGCTCATCCGTAGCTCTGCACTCCACACAGATGACTGAGAGTTACCCACACAGCACAGCTCCACTCAGGCCATCTTATCTTCTTATGAAAACAAACACTTTCAACCTGTGTGCCCTTGAAATGGAAAGCATTCTGCCGGGCCAGTAGCTGGCTGGCTCAAAGAAGGGCATTTTCTTGCTAAATAATGGAAGAATTTCACTCACCATAGGAAGACTCTCCCTTGTTTTTTCTTGGCAGGAGTGGGAAGGTGGATCAACAGGGCTGCCATCACAAAAACACCTTTTTTGTCTTTTTGACCGAACAGCAGGAGATTTTACTTTAAAAAAAATCAGAAACAGAAGAATGTGCAAAAAGTTAGCCTCATTTTATCATTTTAACGGTGACAGGTACAGGATGGATAAATGACGTCTCCAATTACAGTACCTCAGTGCTTGTGAAGTGACAGGTAAGGCAAGCACTTACTGAGCACATACTGGTGTGGGCACGGAGGTAGCCAGTAAGGAGCAGAGGTCCCCAGCACCTCCCCGCAACCTCACCCACACAACCCAAACCACCCCCTGCAGTGCAGAAGAAAACCGCAGCTTTTAGTTTTGCCACTTAGAAGTGAAGCCGTTAAAAGCAACCAGTGTGTTGGGCCGGTGCTGTGGTGTGTTAGGCTAATCCTCCACCTGTGGCACTGGCATCATATATGGGCACCAGGTTCTAGTCCCGGTTGCTCCTCTTCCAGTCCAGCTCTCTGCTGTGGCCCGGGAGAGCAGTGGAGGATGGCCCAAGTGCTTGGGCCCTGCACCCGCAGGAGGAAACACCTGGCTCCTGGCTTCGGATCTGTCGCTCCCCCTCTTCGTGGAGGAACGACACTAAACCCTGCCTAGGCTTCATATCCGAGTCACGGCACCATTATGTCGCTCCCCGTCTTCGTGGAGGAACGACATAAGACCCTGCGCTGTTCTTTCGTCTGCTCGGCCCTCCCCGGGTTTGCTGCTGGTTCTTCCCGGGTTGGCTACTATCCCTTCCACCTCCGTGGAAGGGCAGTTCCCCCTGGCCGCATTCCCCACTTCCGCAGGGGAGCGGCACACCGCCGGCCGGCCTTCTCGGGGGCTGCACGGGTTCCCTTAGATGTTCCCCATAGATGTTCCTGGTGCATGCCGTCTCTCTCCTCCTTTATAGTCCTCCTCCGCCAATCCTAACTCGGCTGCCCACACGCCGAGTACGCTGCTCTCCAATCAGGAGCAAGTCCTACAATTTATTAGTTGAACTGGAGGCAGCTGTGCAGAAGCTGTTTACTTCTCTCCCAGCGCCATATTGTGGGAGAGCAGATGCATAGAATAAGTCTTAATTCGAGTAACTTAGTCTAGTCCGGATTGCTCCCCACAGATCCCCCTTTCTTTTTATTTTTGGCGTTGATACGCGCCTGTCTTCGGTGACCTGCGGCGCATAAGCTGCTAGCCGCCCAGGTGCTCATCGCCTCACTAATCGGGCAGACCGAATCCAAGCTCTCACATTGCAGTGTTGTAGGGAGGCCTTTTTATTTCTCTATTTCTCTATCTCTGGGCATTCCTATTTCTCCCATTTTACTTCTATCTTCCAGCATTCCTATTTTTCTCACTTTACTTCTAAACTTCTGTTTCTCTTATCCCTGCGGCTTTCCGGCACCTCGCCCCGCCGGCAGGCTCCGCCCCGAGGCTATTTCTCCGCGGCTTTCCCGCCGAGCCGCTTCAGCCCGCGTCTCTCATCTGCGCGGCTTCCCGGCTTTGCGCGGCTTGGCTTCGCGCGCTCCGCGGTCTCCACGCCCTTCGCGTCTGCACCACGGCCTACGCCAGCCCCGTTCCCTATCTATTCACGCCCCGTGCTCTCTCTGCACGCGGCGGCTTCCGCGAGTAACACAGCGTAGCTTACGTGTCCGCCACTAGCATTCAATCTAAGTTCCCCGGGCTAGCCTGGCGAATTCAACCCAGCGTACGTCTCCGCCCCATGATTTGGCTTCCCGTCCTTTGCTCCCCGGGCTAATCAGACGGATCCCAATCTGGCTCATGTTTCAGCTTCTGGTTTCAACTTTTCGCCCCCTATTCCCGGGCTAACTTGAGAACCCCAAAGTGGCTTCCGTTTCCGCCTCGGCCTGCCCCCTGCAGCTTCAATTTCCCTAACATTTTTCTCTACCCGGTATGTTTCCCCAAGCTTTCCTCCAACGATATTCCTCCCTCATTTCTCCTGGCCTCTCCCCACAGTCCGCATCCGAGTCTGTTTGTTCTAGCTTTCACTTTCGCTTTCAACCTTAGAGATTCCTCCCAGCTTCCCCCCGTAGTCCGTATCCGAGTCTATGCCTAGGCTTTCAATAGCTTCTTCCAGCTCCTTTTTCGTCCGGCTTTTCCCTAGGCTGTTTCGAGTCTATGCCTAGGCTTTCAATAGCTTCTTCCGGCTCCTTTTTCGTCCGGCTTTTCCCTAGGCTGTTTGCTAGTCTCTCTCTCCGATATTTTCCCAGTTCTTCCCGTTTCTTCCCTCCTAAGTTTCCTATCCGTCCTAGGTTTCCTATCCGAGTCAGGTTTCCTATCCGAGTCACGGCACCATTATGTCGCTCCCCCTCTTCGTGGAGGAACGACACTAAACCCTGCCTAGGCTTCATATCCGAGTCACGGCACCATTATGTCGCTCCCCGTCTTCGTGGAGGAACGACATAAGACCCTGCGCTGTTCTTTCGTCTGCTCGGCCCTCCCCGGGTTTGCTGCTGGTTCTTCCCGGGTTGGCTACTATCCCTTCCACCTCCGTGGAAGGGCGGTTCCCCCTGGCCGCATTCCCCACTTCCGCAGGGGAGTGGCACACCGCCGGCCGGCCTTCTCGGGGGCTGCACGGGTTCCCTTAGATGTTCCCCATAGATGTTCCTGGTGCATGCCGTCTCTCTCCTCCTTTATAGTCCTCCTCTGCCAATCCTAACTCGGCTGCCCACACGCCGAGTACGCTGCTCTCCAATCAGGAGCAAGTCCTACAATTTATTAGTTGAACTGGAGGCAGCTGTGCGGAAGCTGTTTACTTCTCTCCCAGCGCCATATTGTGGGAGAGCAGATGCATAGAATAAGTCTTAATTCGAGTAACTTAGTCTAGTCCGGATTGCTCCCCACAGGATCGGTGCAGCACCAGCCGTAGCGGCCATTTGGGGGGTGAACCAATGGAAGGAAGACCTTTCTCTCTGGCTCGCTCTCTCTAACTCTGCCTAATAAAAAAAAAAAAAAAAAGCAACCAGTGTGGCTTCCAGCTATGTCCCTGTGATGATCCTTAGCTCATTATGTCACTACAATAAAATTACCATGACTGACTTACCTACTCCCGTTACACTTCCAAGGCTTCCAAACAGGAGCAAGGAAATGGGCAGCAGTCAAGCCTCCCCTAAACTCCACCCGCTCTGAGTGTTCAGGTAAGCTCCATCCCAGACACCAGTGCCCCACACAGAGGGACAGCCTGACCTGCTGAGTGCCCCTCTCCCCTGGACATGCCTGCACTCCTTCCCCAGTGCACACCTTCACCATGCACCTCAGTCTGGCTCTCGCCAACCTTTACCCACAGCTTGTCCTTGAATTCCTTCTTGCCTTGCAGCCAGAGCATGGATCCAGCCCCCCAGTATCACTTTTCATGATCTCATCTAATCTCACAGGAACCCTCTGGGGTAGGCAGTTTACTATATTCATTTTATAGAACAGCGTGAGCCCTAGCAGTGCTTAGAAAGGTGTCCAGCACACCGGGTTCTAGTCCCGGTCGGGGCGCCGGATTCTGTCCCGGTTGCCCCTCTTCCAGGCCAGCTCTCTGCTATGGCCAGGGAGTGCAGTGGAGGATGGCCCAGGTGCTTGGGCCCTGCACCCCATGGGAGACCAGGAAAAGCACCTGGATCCTGGCTCCTGCCATCGGATCAGCGCGGTGCGCCGGCTGCAGCGGCGGCCATTGGAGGGTGAACCAACGGCAAGGGAAGACCTTTCTCTCTCTGTCTCTCTCTCTCACTGTCCACTCTGCCTGTCAAAAAAAAAAAAAAAAAAGAAAGGTGTCCAACGTCACAGAAACACTGACTCCTAACACCTGATCTTATCAGTTCCCAAGGCCCAGCCTTTATCCACCAGGACTTGATTCACTGCCTCTGCAAATTTCCCACAGACCTTCCTCCTGTGTGGACACCCTTCCTCCATATCCCTTGAAGGTCCTGACCAAGGAGGTATATGCATAGCAAGCCACAGACATGTGGGAATAAGTAGCGCTCCGTGTAACAGAGCAGCCAGCAATTTCAAATGCAAGGTTGCTTTAGCAAATTGAACTGATCTAAACAATGAGAAATGAACCTTCGGTATGGCTGTGGAGAGGGACAGAGAAATAGCTGGAGCCCTGAGAAAAGCCCTGATCCCATGAACTTACTACATAGTAGCAGGCAGTGATAAGAGTACCCTGACCTACATGTGACCTAGCCCATTAGTAAAATACCACACAATGAATATCCCTGGCTCTGACCAACCCCATTCATAATTCTTTCTTCCTTGAGAATCAACGGTTGGTGAGGATGACACTGGAGAGGGGAGAAGTGTGTGACGGGTTCTCTCTCCTCCCTCATAGTTGGGGCAAACATGTTTCTGAGGTTCTTCTGAGTCGAAGGAAAATGAATAACAATGGTCTTCTCTCAGCCTTAACAAAAGGCAAACTATTGCTAAAAATGCTTCATAACTTTACAAATATACAAGTATATTTGCTTAACTAGCATTCTTGGAATATCAGATTCTTAAAAGTTGGTATAATTCTAAACAATGTACAAATCATTACAAACTCTGAGGTGAAGAACTCTTAGTTGTAAAGACTTCTGCATAATGTGATCCCTTTCCAGTCCCTACACAAATCTGTTTAGTAAACAAATCTCCTTAGTTTCAATTAAACCTCTGTTGCATATCCAGTGTTACAGATATTAATGTTTGATGGATGAATGACACAGGTTTCATTTCAACATGTAACTCCAATCCAATAGGATCATAAGATCTATAAACCAAATTTGAAAATGCTAATTTCTTTTTTTCTCCAAAGAAACATTTTATTTAATGAGGACAAATTTTATAAGTACAACTTTAGGAATATAGTGATTCTTCCCATCATATCCGCCCTCCCACCCACACTCCCACCCCATTTCCTTCTCTCTCCCCTGTTCCCAGTCCCACTATCCATGAAGATTCATTTTCAATTAACTTTATATACAGAAGATCAAATCTATACTAAGTAAGGATTTCAACAATTTCAACACACAGACACACACACACACAAACCTGTTTGAGAAGAAGTTTTATAGTTAATTTTCATAATACAACTCACTGAGGAGAGAAGTCCTGCATGCGAAGTAAGTACACAGTGACTCCTGTTATTAATTTAACAATTAACACTCTTATTTTTATGTATGTCATCAGTGATCATCCGAGGCTCTTGATGTGAGCTGCCAAGGCAATGGAAGCCTTTTGAACCCAAAAACTCTGTCAGTATTTAGACAAAGTCATAAGCAAAGTGAAAGTTCTCTCCTTCCTTCAGAGAAAAGTACATTCTTCTTTGATGGCCATTTCTTTCCATTAGGCTCTCTTTCACAGAGATCCTTCATGCAGGACATTTTTGCCACAGTGTCTTGGCCTTCCAAGTCTGAAATGCTCTCATAGGCTTTTCAGCCAGACCAGAGTGCCTTAAGGACCGATTCTGAGAACAGACTGCTATTTAAAGCAATTGTCATTCTATGAGTCTGCTGTGTGGACTGCTTTCCATGTTGAAACATTCTCTCCTTTATAATTCTATTATTATTACCAGACATTTGATCTTATTTATATGATCCCTTTAACACTTATTCCTATCTATATGAACAATTTAACACTTAACACGGTCTCTTTAACACTTAAGATGGCATTTTTACCATCCAGTGTAATGGGATTTGGGGTCCCACTGCTAGGAATATATGTAGAACTATACAGATTTATAGTTATAAACTTCCTCTTCTCTCTCTTATTCCCACTCATATTTTACTGAGACCTATTATCATTTGACTTTATACACATATCATTAACTCCATCTTAAGTAAAGAGTTCAACAAATAGTATGAAGTAGAGAAAAAAAAAAACTGTTCTTCAATAGTCAAGACAAGGGCTGTTCAAGTCTTTGCTTCTCAAAAGTGTCAATTTCATTTCTACAGACTGTCTGTTAGGTGTTCTATTAGTTATCACAGGTCAGGGAGAACATATGGTATTTGTCCCTTTGGGACTGGCTTATTTCACTAAGTGTGATGTTTTCCAGATTCATCCATTTTGTTGTAAATGACCAGATTTCATTTTTTTAACTGATGTGTAGTATTCTATAGAGTTCATGCCCCATAATTGTTTTATCCAGTCTTCAGCTGATGGGCATTTAGGTTGATTCTATGTCTTAGCTATCATGAATTGAGCTACAATAAACATTGGGGTGCAGATAACTCTTTTATTTGCTGATTTCATTTCCTTTGGATAAATTCCCAGGAGTGGGATGGCTGGGTCATATGGTTAGGTTTATATTCAGATTTTTGAAGTATCTCCAAACTGATTTCCATAGTGGTTTTACCAGGTTACTTTCCCACCAACAGTGGATTAGGGTACCTTTTCCCCCAAATCCTCACCAGCATTTGTTATTTGTTGATTTCTGTATGAAAGCCATTCTAACATGGGTGAGGTAAAACCTCATTGTGGTTTTGATTTGCATTTCCCTGACGACTAGTGATCCTGAGCATTTTTTCATGTGTCTGTTGGCCATTTGTATTTCCTCTTTTGAAAAATGTCTGTTTAAGTAATTTGCCCATTTCTTCACTGGGTTGTCTGTTTGGTTATTGTTGAGTTTCTTGATCTCTTTATATATTCTGGTTATTAATCCTTTACCAGTTGCATAGTTTGCAAATAATTTCTTCCATTCTGTCGGTTGTCTATTCACTTTCCTGAGTGTTTCTTTTGTAGTAGAGAAGCTTCTCAATTTGAGATAATCCCATTTGTCAATTTTGGCTTTGATCGCCTGTGCCTCTGAGGTCTATTCAAAGAACTCTGTGCCAATATTTTGCAGGGTCTCTCCAATGTTCTCTAACAACCTGATGGTATCAGGTCATAGATATAGGTCTTTAATCCATTCTGAATAAACTTTTTGTATAAGGTATAAGGTAAGGGTCCTGCTTCATACTTCTGCATGTGGAAATCCAGTTTTCCCAGCACCATTTGTTGAAGAGACTGTCCTTGCTCCAAGCATTGGTTTTAGCTCCTTGGTCAAATACAAGTCGGTTGTAGATGCTTGGATTGATTTCTGGTATTTCTATTCTGTTCCATTGGTCTATCTATCTGTTTTTGTCCCAGTACCAGGCTGTCACTGCCTTGTAGTATGTCTTGAAATCTGGTATTGTGATGCCTCTGGCTTTGTTTTTATTGTTTAAGATTGCTTTAGCTATTCAAGGTCTCCTGTTCCTCCATATGAATTTCAGCATCATTTTTTTCTAGCTCTGAGAAGAATGTCTTTGGTATTTTGATCAGTATTGCAATGAATCTGTAAACTGCTTTTGGAAGAATGGACATTTTGATGATATTGATTCTTCTAATCCATGAACATGGCAGATTTTTCCATTTTTTGGTATCTTCTTCTATTTCTTTCTTTAATGTTTTGTAATTCTCATCACAGAGATCTTTGACATCTTTTGTTAAATTTATTCCAAGGTATTTTTTTGGTAGCTATTATGAATGGGATTGATCTTAGAAGGTCTTTCTCAGCCATGTCATTGTCTGTGTATACAAAGGCTGCTGATTTTTGTGTATTGATTTTATATCCTGCTATTTCACCAAACTCTTCTATGAGTTCCAATAGTCTGTGGCACAGTCTTTTGGATCCCCAATATATAGAATCATGTCATCTGCGAATAGAGATAGTTTGACTTCTTCCTTCACAATTTATATCCATTTGATTTCTTTTTCTTGCCTAATGGCTCTGGCTAAAACTTCCAGGACTATATTGAACAGCAAGGGCAAGAGTGGCCATCCTTGTCAAGCCTCCCACAGTCATGAGCACCCAGCCTCCTGTCTACTCTCTACACCAGACTCGGGAGTCTCCCATGGAGCGTTGCTCGGCGCCAACACAAGCTGGCATAGCTGTTATGCATGTCCAAAATGGCACCGGCTATCAGCTTGTCACAGGATGCAGTTGCAGGGTGACCAGGGAAAGAGAAAATGTTGTCCCCCCACTTTGTTTTTTCTCCTCTAGTTTGGCGTGTACACTATCCCCCAAGGGGTGTGGGAGACAGGGCCCGTCTCTCACAAGATGGTGCTGAGAGGAAGTGGAAAAATGCGGAACTGAGAATGGAGTGTTGCAAATGCCGAATGACTGGGAGCTGACCTTATCATCGATTGGAGGAGAACTGCGTGCACACCGCGTGGACTCAAACCTGATTGGTCTGATTGCCGCATGAACTGAGGGACAATTCTGATAGGTGGAAAAGGACTATATATGGAAGAGAATATAGCGTAGAGCGCTCTCTTTTTTTCCTCTTTTCTATCTTTCTACCCTGTAACATTTTCTATTAATAAAGCCCTACTGAAGGGGAAGCAAACAGCGTTAGGTGTCGTTCCTCCATGGGCAGGAGAGTGACAAGGGGCTCCTGGCCAGATTCCCTCTAGGTTCTTCCTGCAGCTTTATTGCCAGTGGCTTTGGCTGCTGCAGTCTGGTCTCGCCTTGCTCTCCAACGCTGGTATGGGGGCTCTCAGCTGCTGGGGTACTGAGCTGTGCGAGTCCTCACCCTCCATGTAGGTCCACTGTGTCCCTCAAATTTGCATAGAGTTTACTGTTTTCTCACTAACTCTGCCCTGAAATTGCATTCTTTCCACTTTTTTTAAAAACTATCTTCTCCTAGATTAGAGCAGCAAGCTCCTTCCCTACACCTTCATCTTAATTTCTAAAAATAAATAATGGCTTTTAAGGGTTAAACATAGGAAACATCTATCCTAGTTATGAAACAATTTATAATGCACATCTCAATATTTTATTTTTATAAGCAGAGGTATATACCTGTATAAAATGGCAAGAATACGGGTGGGCATTTAGCGTAACAGCTAAGATGACATGGGGGTTGCCGGCATCCCTGATCAGAGTGTATGGGTTGGAGTCTCTGCTCCCCATTCCAGGTTCCTGCTAATAAGCCCCTGGCAGGCAGCAGGTGCCAGCTCAAGGACTTGGGTCCCCATCACCCCCATGGGAGACCTAGATTGAGTTCTTAGATCCTGGCTTCAACCTGGCCCAACCCCTGCTATTGCTGGCATTTAGGGAGTAAACTAGGAGATGGCAGATCTCTGTTTCTGACCTTCAATAAACATTTTAAAAAATAAAATAACAAGAGTACTTATATACATACCTGTAACTACAGCATTACTGCCATCTGTACTCTCAGTCTCAACAGCACCGTAAGATCTCAGCAGCTCTCTCATTCGTTCATCATCTGCTTCATCTAAAGCAGTCTTCTGATTCTGATGTTTCTGATTAGGGTCTGCTCCATGTTGTAGTAGAATTTCAGCAGCCTACAAGGTATTCTTTCAGTTATTTCTACAGACACAGGATTTCGTCACAGTACTGCTAAGCATTAAAAGTTATCAAGGAAAAAAAGATTTCAAACTTTAGTCAACAAAATTTTTTATTAAATCTGATATGTCAAATGTAAACTGATCCATCAACGTGCCCTGATTGGTACTCCTAAGAGAACCACACGTGACAACAGGAAGTATGACATGCTGCTTTGACTGCAAAGGTAGGAGGCTCAGGTAAAGTAAGTCAGTTCTAGACTGTCTGCCATCAGGACTTTCTGCAATAATGAAATATTCTGTATCTGCTCTCTACAATAAGGTAGCCACTAGTCACATGTGGTTACTAAGCATTTAAGGTTTGGCTAATGTAACTAAGCAACTAAATTTTTTATTTAATTAATTTAAATAACTAAATGTTCCTAGTTGCTACCAGATTGAACAACACAAGTCTAGTTGGCTGTTCAGATTAAGCCACATTCATGGAAATGTGGAATTACTGAAGGATTTATCTATCTCTTTAACAAAAGCCCTTGTGCTTCCATAAATTGTTAGGGCATGTAGTGGAGAAGAGTGAAAGGGTTCCTTGAGGACCACGTCAGATCATAAATGGTACAATGAACTGCCAAAGACATAGCTGAACAAAATTCTAGAGAACAAAGTATTGACTACAAATAAGATTGCTCCAAGTAACTCAAATTTGTATTTAGAAGTTTGCAATAGGCCGGCGCCGTGGCTCACTAGGCTAATCCTCTGCCTGTAGCGCCGGCACTTCGGGTTCTAGTCCTGGTTGGGGTACCAGTTCTGACCTGGTTCCTCCTCTTCCAGTCCAGTTCTCTGCTGTGGCCTGGGAAGGCAGTGAAGGATGGCCCAGGTCCTGGGCCCTGCACGTGCATGGGAGACCAGGAGGAAGCACCTGGCTCCTGGCTTCGGATCGGCGCAGCACGCCGGCCGTAGCGGCCATTTGAGGGGTGAACCAATGGAATGGAAGACCTTTCTCTCTGTCTCTCTCTCACTGTCTAACTCTGCCTCTCTCTCTCAAAAAAAAAGAAGTTTGCAATTGATCAAAATTAACGATTATTACTAACTGTATTGGTGTAAGTTAATAGTAAAAAACAGTGATCGCACCTGCATATGGCAAGCAAATGGCTCAAACTATTGAAAAGCTTTCAGTTAGAAAAAGATGGTCAGAATTTAGTTAACAAGGGAGAGACACTACATGTGAGATTTTAAATCTTCCTGCTATGTCCAGGGATGGAGAGGCAGAGAAACATAGGAGAAAATGGGCCAGCAGAAGTGACCAAGGAAAGCTCCTTCTTTCTTCTATCTGCAGAGGGAGCACAGCATAAAGAACACAATCTTGTTTAAAGTTAACCATTCAAACTCATGCCTGCTACTTAGCATCTATATCCGTGGGCAAATTACTCACCACCTCTGAACCCCGCTTGTTATCACCTGTGAGAATTAAGTGTGAACTCCTATAAATTATCTGGTGTACAGTGGGCTGTCAATGAATCCAGCCCTCTAAAATCTGTCCTTTTTGGGGTGGGGGGTGGTGACAAGACGAATCATGGTAATGAGAGGCAGTAAATGGCACATGAAAAGTCTCCTGCAAAGAGGCTAATGGAACCTGCACATAGGTGGCTAATGAACTCTGAGTAAAGAATGAGAATGTTATTTATTTTTAGAAGATGGGTTATCAGTACCTAAATCCAGCAGTTTATAAGTGACTGATCAGTAAAGTCACTTGTACAGTGATTTAAACACAGAGATTCCTTAGACTACTATCAGAAATTTTGCAAACTGGGAATCTATGCCTTAATCAGCAGATACTCATTTCCAGCATTACATGGGGATACACAAAGTCATTTTTGGAAAAAGCTTTTTTAGACTCTTAAAAACATACACCATACTAATGCCTACTGTGCCAATGTGTTAATATGCAGTCTTTGTAGACATTGTCTAATTTAACATGGGTTCCTTTTGTATACTAGTTTGGAAAACACTCAGAACTCATCTCAGAGAGAATGGAACCTGAACAGCTGATTTTTCCAATAATACTGACAGGAAAAAGTCTAGGAGCACAGCAGCAGGGTAGCAAGGCAATAACCAGGAAAGGCTGAGGGTAAAGTTAGAGGAGGTTCAAGCAGTGGGCCTGGGGGCCTAACAGTTTGGCAAAGATTAAGTAATCAAAAGTAGGACCCTTACCTTTTAAAAAACAAAACCAAAACAGCACACTGAAGAAGCAAGCACTGCCACTATCATGACATAGACACAGCCCACTGAAGAAGCCACTACCCACATGGTGATTAGAAAAGTCCACTGAAGTAATCAACCATTACCACCAGCATGTTGTAGAAACAGCTCACTGACCTAATCAGCACTCTGGCCTCAGAATCAGCCCTGAAGGCATTCAGATCTGGCTGAAGAGCCCATGAGAGTATTTCAGGCATGGAAAGCCAAGACACTCTGGCGAAAAAAAAAATGACCTAAATGAAAGATCTCCGTGAGTGAGATCCCAGTGGAAAGAACGGGCCATCAAAGGAGGTACCTTTCTCTGAAGGGAGGAGAGAACTTCCACTTTGACTCTGACTTTGTCTATTAAAGATCAGAGTCGGTGAACTCAAAAGGCTTCCATAGCCTTGGCAACTCATGACAAGAGCCTAAGGTGATTACTGATGCCATAAACAAGAGTGTCAATTGTTAAGTCAACAACAGGAGTCATTGTGCACTTACTCTCCGTGCAGGATCTCTGTCCTTAATGTGCTGTACATTGTGATTTAATGCTATAACTAGTACTCAAACAGTACTTTACACTTTGTGTTTCTGTGTGGATGCAAACTGTTGAAATCTTTACTTAATATATACTAAATTGATTTTCTGTATATAAAGATAATTGAAAATGAATCGATGTGAATGGAATGGGAGAGGGAGTGTGAGATGTGAGGGTTGTGGGTGGGAGGGAAGTTATGGGGGGGGAGGAAGCCACTGTAATCCAAAAGCTGTACTTTGGAAATTTATATTTATTAAATAAAAGTTAAGAAAAAGAAACAGCTCACTGAAGAAACCACTACCAACATCCTGTTTTAGCAACAGCTCACTGAAGCAATCATTACCACCTTCATGACACAGATACAGCCCACTGAAGCAATCATTACTGCCATGTGGATGTAGAAACTGCTCACTGTAGTCCACCACCATGACTTAGAAACATTCCTCCATCACAAAAATCCTTTCTGGCCCTTTAAAATCAAACCCCTCTCAAGGCCTTTTGGCTCCTAGAAACCCCGATCTCCTTCTGTCACTTTAAATTCTGTCTTTTATGGGTTTTAACACACAAGGAATCACACAGTCTGACATGCAGTCTTTCCTGTCCAGTCTCTGACATAGCAAGACGCTTTTAAGATTCACCTGTATTACTGCCCGTATTAACAGTTTGCTCCTTTTACCAATTTAATTATTCATTTATCAATTGATAGACTTTTGGGATCCCTTCCAGATTTTTGCTATTGTGAATAAAACTGCAATGCACATTCTGGTACAAGTGTTTGTAGGGACAAAATGCTTTCATTTCTCTTGGGTAAACACCTAGAAACAGAAAAACAGTTCATACAGGAAGTGTGTATTTAACATAATAAAAAAAATCCAACTGTTTTCCAAAGTGTTCCATTTTTCATTCCTACCAGTAATCTAGGAGTTTTAACTGCTACACAATCACCCCAGTACTTAGTATTGTGGGTCTTTAATTTTGTGCATGCCAGTGGGTATGTACTGGTACCTAGTTGTGCTTTTGGTTTGCATTACTCATTAACAAATAATGCTAAACATCGTTTGAAGCAATGGTATGCTACTTTGGAGCAGCGGTATGCTATGATAAATCTTATTTGGTGAAGTGTCTAAAAATCTACTGCCCATTTTTATTGGGTTGACATTATTAACTTTTTTTGACAGGCAGAGTTAGACAGTGAGAGAGAGAGACAAAAACAAAGGTCTCCCTTCCATTGGTTCACCCCCCAACTGGCCGCTACAACCAGCGTGCTGCGCCAACCCGAAGCCAAGAGCCAGGCGCCTCCTCCTGGTCTCCCATGCACGTGCAGGGCCCAAGGTCCTGGGCCATCTTCCACTGCACTCCTGGGCCACAGCAAAGAGCTGGACTGGAAGAAGAGCAACCGGCACCCCAACTGGGACTAGAACCCGGGGTGCTGGCGCTGCAGGCAGAGGATTAGCCAAGTGAGCCATGGCGCTGGCCGGGTTGACATTATTTTAACAGTTCTTTGTACATTCTGGATATAAACAATTTATAAGTAAATGTTCTGGGAGATATATATGTTCTTCCCATCTGAAAGGCATGCCTTTTGAAATCATTGCCTACCTCAGGAGACCAAAGTTTTGTGTTTTCTTGAGATTGCTTTAACTCTTACATTTAGGTATGATTCGTTTTAAATTAATTTTTATATATAGTAAAAAGAGTTCATTTCTTATGTGTTTTTTAAATATTTATTTTCATCTACTTGAAGGGGAGGGAGGGAGGGAGGGAGGGAAAAAGAGATCCCCTGGTTCATTTCCCAAATGCCTGTAAAAGACAGGGCTGGGCCTGGCCAAAGCCAGGAGCCAGAACTCTGCTCAGTCTCACGCTGGTGGCAGGAGTCCAGGAAATTAAGCCATCATCTGCTGTCTCCAAACGTGAGTTAGCAGCCGCCTGGATTAGAGGCAGAAGAATGGGACCTGACCAACTCCAATATGGGTTGCAGGCATCTCAAGCTATGGCTTAACCCACTGTCACAATGCCCACTTTTTTTTTCAAATGGAAAGCCAAGGATTGCAACTTCATTCATTTAAAGAGTAACCTTATCTATCAAATGTTTTGAAGTAGTGTCAAAAAGCAATTGACCATGCATCTGTGAGTCTATTGCTAAACACTTTATTCTGTTCAATCAGTCTATTTGCAAATCTCAGTGGTTCTCAACTGGGATGATTTTCCCCCCAGGGCACACACATTT